ATATATATGTGCTATGTCAACCCAAAACTCATTTTGCTTTGGTGGTAGAAATTCGGTGTTTCACAAATTATATTGAAAGAGAGCAAGAGTGGGTTGGAAGGAACAGCTTAAGAAAACTTTTGTTTTGCCATCATTACATGAGATCTGTGCATAGCACACCAATTTACCTATAGCATCTTCATAATCAGGTGGCATATTTAATCCTTCGCACAGCTTTGCAAGGTAGATGATGTCTCCATTTCTCATTTTTAAACGGGAAGTCTGAGACTAAAGCATTTGCTATCACATCGGTAGGAAGCGGCACAGCCTGCAGAACCTCCTCGCTGCCCCCCCTCCCCCAGTGCCTGCTTTTTGCACTGTGTCAAGTCTTCTGTAGCATTAATTAGTGTCATCAGCCTATTCTGACCCTTCAGCCTGCGTAATGAATTTCTTATTTTATACCCAGAGACTTGCTCACAAGCTGTAATAATAAAGACCTAATGTCTCAGTATTTACTAAATGGTAGGCACACGATCGTTCATCCTTATAGCCTCTTAGCAGGTGCATTGCTCATCACCAATCCAAAACCCAGAAAGCTTTGAAAAGCAAAGCTTTTTCATAATCAATTTTGCATCAAATCTGACTTGGTCTGAATTAATGTAATGGCAAAACTTCACTTAAACTGGCATGAGGTTATTTATAGTCTCTTTTATTCCACTTAGTGTGGTTGTTTATCCATGTATTTTGTTGCAGAAACATTGCTCTGTTTACCCCCTTGGATGTTACACCATCTATGCTGTATTCCTTCTATTGTCTTTCTAAACTGAAAAATTCTCAAATATCTCTTGTCGCTGGGGTTTTGGATAAAGGACTGACAGCTTGACTTAACCCCATTGTACATATGAGAGAACTTAAAGGTGCAATAATTTGCCCAGATCTTTGAACCTAGAAATATTTGCCTTTAGGTCAAATCCCAAGAATGATCCACATATACTAGTAGATGGAAGTTTATTTATTTATTTATTTATTTGGTTAATCCTCACCTGTCCACATATACTAGTAGATGGAAATTTATTTATTTATGTATGTATGTATTTATTTATTTGGTTAATCCTCACCCGAGGATATTTTTTCCACTGCTTTTTTCAGAGAAAGTGGAAGGGAGAGAGGGAGGGAGGGGAGGAAGAGAGAGAGAGAGAGACTTGAGAGAGAGACATAGTTTGGTTGCCTCCTACACAGTCCCAAACTGGCTTGAGAGAGAAACATAGTTTGGTTGCCTCCTACACAGTCCCAAACTGGGGGCAGGGAGCAAACCCGCAAACCAAGTACATGCCCTTCACTGGGAATCAAACCCGCAACCCTTTGGTGCGTAGGCTGACACTCTCACCACTTAACCACACTGGCCAGGGTGGAATATTCTAATCTAAATAAACCTGTTGAGAACTGAATCTCTACAGCAAGCATGTCAAACTCACTCAAAGGCTAATACGGGCCAAATAAACAAGGTTTAAGTTTATGTGGGCCGCAAAAAAACAAAAGCTTCAATTTTCATAGAAAAGTAG